GGAAATTAACTAATCTTTTAATTGATTCCTTTTTGGAGCCGGTATTTTACATATTTCGTGCAAAATAAATTATCTTTTAAAATTTTGACGGTATTTTTAAACGCTTTCTATTTAAAGGCCAGAGACCAAAAATATACTACGGGAAAGCCCTTTTAAAGTTCTACAGTTCTCCGCCAATGAACAGACGGTATTTAATCATTCCTCATTCCGCGAAGCATTTGAATGCACGCGTCGGAAGGCCGCGAGGCCGTGTTTACACTACCTACTATAAGGGCATGTGATATGATGCGGTGCTCCAATGATGCTGTTGCTTTTATCTCTTCTGAGCATTGTTTATCGCCCCTGGGGGAAGGGGGGGTAATCTTCCAGCATCTTTACAACAGTTTTTGCACTGTTTATTGACTATTCGTTAACCATGTTTCAATTTCAAGCAACAACCCCCCCCCCCAAAAAAAAAACAACCAACCAACAAACAAAACAACAATAACAAACAACCGAACTGCTCTAGATCGAGATCTATGGTGCATGCAAGAACGAAATGTCAATCTAAGAGCAGAATGCATCTGATATCTACCGGCCCTCACAATTACAGCCTAGCTTAATTTTAAGAAGGCTCTATTTGATTTGATTTTTTTTTTTTTTTCAAATTTAAAAGGCTTCTTTGGTAACGATAGTCAGTAGCTGGCCTCCATGAGGCACCGAGCACTCATGAGTCATTTCCCAACCACATGCGGTAAGCCACCTAGGGCCGAGGTGATTTTATCGGACTATGATGGGTCAGGGGGAGTCCTTGCCTCATGCCCACTCCGTGGTGGGGTGAGAATAACGGGTAATGAGCTTTTCTCACCAGGGATGAGAATATAGGTGGCCAAAAAATTAAGGAATTTCATAGATTATTTTTAGTATTAAATCTAAATTAACCTGGCCCTACATTAAAAGACTATTTCGTAAAGTCTTCAGTCAGTCAATCAGAATCAGATATAAATTTAGATCTCTAAACTCCAGTTTTGACAGTATTCCAGAACAAAATGTTGCAGTGCAAGTTACAGATTTTGATTCATGACTTTATGTAAGATCAGTTTCAGCTTTCAGACTAGACCAGCTCTTGATGACGAGCCAGGCCTAGTCTAGATCAAAATCTTCTTTGTTGATCGAAGTAGGCCTCAAGATTCTACAATTTTTATGGTTCTTGATCATATTTCTTTCTAGGTAAAGCAAAAAAAAAATAAATAGAGTTCTGTTTATGACTGTAAGTTGGTCTTGTCTCTCTCTCTCTCACTCTCCTATTTTTCTTCAAGTGATCTCTAGCATAATTATTTTAAGCTAAGTAGTGGGGATATAAAGGCCTTGTCATTGAGGCCTTGATTAGTGTTGCAGCATGTGTTACATTTGTCAAATTTTGGTAAATTTTTACTTTTACTCCCGCACACAGATGCACAACTTTGATTGTCAAACTGCAGTTTTATTTGCTGCAGATCAATAAAGCCTCTAAAACTGTCGCAAATAAATTATTTTCAAGAAAATTTCAAACCAAACTGCAAAACAACAAATTATAAGTTACCCTGCCCCCCTGTAAGTCCACACATTTTTTTCTTACTTCAGGCCCCCCTGAACCCCCCCCCCCCCCCCCCCCCCCCCTCCTAAGTGCGGACATTACTAGGCAATCTTTTAATGTCATAAAGATCTTTTATAAACCATGAAATAATTTTTAAACTAGATTATTAATTGTGATGGAAATGGAGTCGATATTTGTATTCAGCGCTTCAATACGTATAAAATGGAGTAAAGAAGAAATTTAGAAGAGTAGAGCAGAGGTAAGAATTGAGGTCCAAAACTAGGTCTCTAGTTAGGACTAGGGAGGGTGTGAAAAGGAAAAAAGGGAGTGTATGAAAAAGAGGAACACCACACTGATACAATAGGCCTATTATAGGGCTAGAGGGAGAGGCCTTGTACTTTTTTCGATGTGAGAATTTGTAAGGGTCTGGAAATTGTGTGTGTGTGTGTGTGTCCGTTTTATGTTCGTTGATTTGTCAGTTTGGATTTGGATGGTAATTCTTGTGCCCTGTACAAGGATTACTAAGGGCCTTTTTGGATTTGGCACAAAAGGTGTAAATTATTATCAATACTGTTGTTGTTGTTATTATTATTATTGTTATTATTATTATTTAAAATTTTTATTTTTATTGAATATTATGATTGTTATTATTTTTTATTGAATTATAAGAATATTTAAAATTATTATTATATTATTTTATCATTATTATTATAATTTCTGGCTTGATGTTTTAATCAATTATGTACTAGAACGTTCCCTTAAAAATATAAACGACTTTGTTTAAGATACACTCTTATTTGAGAAAGTTTTACAAAGTCCAATCTGCTCAAAATTATTCGTCGTATTTAAAAAATTAGATCAATCAACAACTCTATTACTATTGATGTGCTTACTGAGAATTTCACAGAATTGTGAAAAATGATCTCAAAGTCTCAGCTCAGACAGATCATGTGATAGAAGAATTATCATAATTCATAATACTCCAAAACTACACGCACATGAACTTGCTGTTTGTTGAAGAAGGTAAATGCACCCCAAGCATTTTACTGCCTTATCTTTTTAGATAATGATGATGTGTCTTTGTGTGAGATATATGCATCTACTGATAATATGACAGATTTCATCTTGATCTCAAGCATTTGTTACTGATGTAGGAGGACTAAGAAATTAATGTTTCTAGCTGTTTCCTTGGGCATGAACAAATAAATTCATTAAGGTTGTCGCATTGAAAAATTGTCAGATTTAGAATTATATTTTAAGAACATGATCATATAAACCTTGAGCTTTAACAATGTTTTTGTCAGATGACAGAACAAAGAGACAGTCTTTTAAGACCATGTCAGCTTGTGCTTTAAGTGATATTCTTTTCCCTCAAGAGCAGATGAAAATTTTGTTTTTATAAAAATAATTTGATTAACAAAAAGCGTCATGGTGATATCAGGTAGGCCTACACCATGGTCTGAAAAACAGCAGTCTGTTCTTTTGAAAACTTTTTTTGGGTATTAGTGAAAGAAGGAGAAAGAATTTTTCTTATAATGATCTGGTATGGAGTTACGCTTGTAGTCATTGGTGAACCCTATCTCATTATAATCCACAAAGGTGTCTTATTTTATGAGTTGAGCACCTCTCTGCTTCTGCATCTGTGCTATTTTCCATGATAATGAATTATTGATTAGTCCTCTTCATCAGCATTTTGTTGGCTGCCCGGAATTCTTAGTCTTATAAATATCTGAATTCAAATGATTTGAGTCACATTTTGAAATTTTTTGTATTTTAGTTGTAGTGTTATGGATGGGTGTGCCTTAATACCTGATGCTCGGAACTTATCCTCCTTCAAAATAATTAGGCTCGATTTTTGTGGTATTGATTTCTTAGCCCTTACCTTTTGTGGAGTTCTGTTTTTGATAAGCCTATGTATTGTTTTTTTCTTCACCTTCTTTCTTTGGTCCTTTTTTTCCCTGATAAAATCTTGTTTTGAAAAGCAGAGGACAAAAAACTATTTCCTGAATTATTGATTTGCACGCACACGCACTGTCACATGTACGCTGTCCTAAGCTTGGGTTGCATGACGTGGGCTGTTTTGGTGTCTCCCGGCTTCTCCAGTAGACTGACTGGTGGTCTCTTTGACCTGATTGTGTCCCATCTGGCATCTGATCTGCAGCCCGGCGACAGCTGGCCTGTCTACATAGGTGTAACTAAAACCACACCTGGTGGCACGTCACTCTTTGTTCATCATATGGTCCCTTCTGTGGTGTTATATATATTCCATTTAAATATATAAAACATTCTTTTTTTTGTGTAGGGGAATTGGACAAGACCTCCCTTTTGGTTTTATCGATAGAGGGTTTTTCTACAATTTTGATAATGAGGAGTTAGAATCTATTTTAGATCTGCATGGCCAATTCATGAGGCGGAGGTGTCATGTGAGTGTGCTTAGGTAGCTTATTGTGTTGTCTTGATGGTGTGGATGAGTGTTCGGATAACATTACACACCGAGCTGTAATTCATGTGTACGTGTGTGTGTGTACACACAGGGGTGGGATTTACACGCTGGGATTGTGTGGGACGTACACGCACAGTTGTTTGGAGGTGTCAGGCAAGTTTTCGTCTTTTTCATCTAAATGTGGTAGGTGGTTGGAGGGTGTTGAACGCTGACTTGTAGGTTCAATTTTATTCTTTCCCCTCTGTTGTTTTTGTCTATCTGTCTTTCATTTTCCTTTATTATTGGTACCATTATTGTTTGAATATGCTTCTCTTCACACAAACGAACATGGCAGAGAGTACTGTATGATGCAATTAACATGTATATATTTTTCTTCTAAAGCAGCTTGTTGTGTGAGTTAATGTGAGCTTATCTTTGTGAGTTGATCTTTGTTGGAAGAGATACATTACATAATCAGTCAATAATTTCAGTTTAAAATTTACTTCAGTTTTTGTTGGGGTTTTTTTCCTCATGACTTCAAAGACAACAAAGTTATTTTCATGTGTTGCTATGAATGCTTGTCAAAAGTGAATTGTAGTGTGTTCAGTTAAAGAAAAATGATAGATATGGTGGCTCTCTGGCCTATACACATAATTATTTATTGTGCGTGTATGTAATATTTCAGTTTAACCCTATCTGTATGTTGTGTTATACTATCGTATCCATATGATGTGGGGAACTCTGTGCCACCACTTTCTAAATTTACTCGTTAATCTGATCCATACGCTTTGCATAGCAGTCTGTCAAAATGATTTTTTGAGCACTGAAAGTTTCAAAGAGATCTTTATACTAGAAGTATTCTAAAATGTGAAGAATATAACCCCGGGGGTACAAAATGACCCCTGGGCTTACGGAAAGGGTTAAAAAGAAAATAATTTTGAATTTATTTTGTCTATTGCTTTTCAATGTTGTTTTAAAAAAATTATTTTGCTTTTATGTGCTTTGATTGTTTTGTTTCTTTTTCCTGCCCTCTTTTCTCTTTAAATCCAGCTTAGTCATCTTTTACTGACATCTGTGGTACGGTGGTTAGAGTCACCATTTTTGCACTTGCAAAATGTGAGATAGATTCCCAAATGAGGAAACTAATTTAAGGAGTATCTCCGTTAAAAAAGGCAGTTTGGACCAAGATCTGTTTCCCCATTGATAATGACCCTTTTTTTAAATTCCAGATGTTAGAAGTGACAATTTGAACCAATGATCTTTGTTTTCCCACAGATAATGACGGTCTCCCTTCACATCCTGAGCTGAGGTCTGTCCTGAGATTGTGCCGAGATCAGTTGTCAACATGGCGACAACTGACGGCACTGACACGGCCCTGTCTGTGTGGGAGACGATTGGCAACATGACGCCTTTTCCCTATCTCCTGTTTTTTCTTGAGGTAAAAACCAAATGCCATTCTCTTCCTTTTTGTAAGTGATAATCTTGTCTGTATTCGGTCATTAGTGTTTCAATATGCTTCTCTCCACCAGGGCGGGGCTACTGACTGAAGTGTCTTTAGGCCATTCCCAAAGGGGGGACATTAACCTGTTCTTATGCACAGTAGAATTGTAAACGGCCTGATTCATCAATGTCATGCTCGTTACTGTGCCTGAACTGCAACAGGGAAATGCTGCTTTTTCTTTCGTAATCCTCACTATCGTCATTTTTACTCTACTTCTTTTGTCAGTTTGTCACACTTTTGTGACCCTCTATTTCTGGGGGGCCTTGATAGTCGAAGCAGACTTTGTGCTGTTAAAGCTAGATAGGTGAGCAGAGTAAGCCTGATTCCCTGTAAAGACTTCTCTGTTGACATCCATCCCTTGGCGCTCATATGACTTATGCAGTTGCGAGTGCCGTAAAAACTCTACTAAAACTTTAAAAAACACACCAAAATGCATCTCAGTATAAAAGAGTACTCTGTGATGCAATTAATTTGAACTGCAATTGTGAGTTTAAATGCCCCTGCCTCTGTGAGTTATCATTATCTTGTTCATTATTTGTGTTTATTTTGTCATTTGTGAAGCGTGCTGACAAAATGAGTTACTTCTCGGTTTCAAGCCTTATGGAAATAGATACATCACGCTTATGAATAGGTGAAGTTTTAAAAATGTTTATAAGTATGAAATAATAAAAGACATGTTATACATGTTGTTGTTGTTGTTGTTGTTATCGATCCGGCAACATCTGGGCTCTCGCCCTTCTGTCCAATGCCATGTAGTGATAAGTGCAGGTTTGCTGCAGTTGCTGTAATGTTCCGTAGAGTGTGTTGTCGAAGTTAGGTCTCGGAGGGAGAAGGGTAATACATAATACATGTTATACATAAAGAATATGATATAGCATCAATAGAAAATCTACTAATCTGGCCCCATTGTCGATTTTTGGCCTATATATATCCATTTGTGGGTTGCGAGAAGGTACTCGTTTTGTCAGCACGCCTCACATTGTATGTGACAGCCATCTGTGGTGTAATGGTTAGGAGCTCTTAAGTCATTATGCTCAGGAGAAGAAATGAGTTTGATTCCCACATATAGATCTAGAAGTCTTTTTGTTTTAGTTTATCTAGTATCTCCATCTGTGTGCTGCGAAGTTGTGTCTCTTTCAGGCTGGTTTAGCCCTGACAAGCAGTAGCAAAATCAATCTGAACGAGTCCGTCAGCGTAATCTAATTTAAGTTTTACATTGTTTGTATTTGGTTGTGTTTTTTCTTCCTTGTTGATGATTTATTTGGAGCTCCGGTAGCCCAATGAGTTGTGACTTCAGACTCAAAATGGATTTCTAGCAAGTGTTGGTAACACGTGGTTTAGTCGGGTGGTCACCGGGATATGTGTCCTTGAGCAAGACACAATAACCGTAGTTTTGTATAAAAAAAATTTGAAGAACTTGTTTAGATATCAGGGCATTTCTCAGTGGCAAACAGCAGTAGCATATTTGTAATTGTAAGATTGTTTAGCCTGGGTGTGGTATAGTGTGTTTGGTATTCTTTGTATGTGTGTTTTTGTGGTTTGTATTCTTTGTATGTATATTTTTGTGTTTAATTATGTATTTATGCATGTGTTTGTGTGCCACTGAAATCCAAATTTCCCCATGGGATCTATAAAGTGTAATTTATTATTAATTATCTTTAATGATAAAAATAGAATTCATTTATCTGAGTTTGTGGTCTTTTGTGGAATCCTTCACGTAATTTGTTTCTAGTGAAGCGTGAGAGTGATTGGAGGGTGCCACTAGATGATCCTTCTTTTTTTCTTTCTTTCTCTTTTTCTTTCTTTCTTTTTTTATCTGTCTACCTTGCTTTGATCTAGCACTGAATAAGCACGATCTTGTTGATTTGATTCTCCTTGCTGAAACTCAACACTAGTACAGCCTCTCAACAAATGTTTTATTGAATAGAGTCCTAAATGTAATTTGTTTCGAGTGTAGGAATTTTTAAAAAAAAGAGTTTAGCCATTATCTTGTTTTTAGTATATGATTGCTAAAATTTATCTCTCGTCTCTTTTACCTCCATGTCATCGTTGTCCAGGGAACCTTTGAGCTCTTCCTTGACCGCTCAGTGCTGGTCATTCTGTCTTTCCTGGTGGGTGTGGCCATGACACTGGTGGTCCAGGCTCTGTTCTTACGTCACCTGTATGGCCACAGTCCCACCCTCCCGCCACCCGTACTGGAGCAGAGACCTGTACAGCTGCCTGAGGTGAGAGAATCAAGCCCAATTAGCACTTATTTCTGTTCTGAGATGTTATACACTTTGAAAAAAATATCACCGCTATTGATACCCGTTGGTATAGACAGTGAAAGATCTTGTCTTTTCATTAGTGTCTGAACGCTTGATTGGCTGCTTGCACTGTTCACTTTCCGGGAAGCCAATATTGATATAGATTGTAAAGCACATAGAGCTTGCTGTTGAGTGGGGATATGCGCTATACGAATGCTATTTGGCATTTATTTATTATTATTATGTTAATGGGGGCTTAAAACCTTTTCAAGAAAAGGCTGTTGTTCCTTTTATCTGGGTAGGTCCTCAAGAACCGTCTCAACCAGCAGAGCCTGAAGCAGAAGGAGGAATGTGTCTGGCTCAACTTCCTCTCGCAGTTTCTTTTCTCAGAGCTCAGAGAGTCGCTGCATGTAAGAAGGTAAGTGGCAGGTGGTTGGAGGGTGCCTTTGGTTGGTTCCATTTCTATTCTTTTTTCCCTCTGTTGTTTCTGTTTGTCTATTCTTGCTGTTTTGTTTTTTCCTGCCCCGAATGACGGTTATTGTGGTCATTGTATTACTCACACGAACAAATGCGAAGATGAACTGCAGATACTAGTTTGTTTTTCACACGAACAAATGCGAAGATGAACTGCAGACACTAGTTTGTTTTTCACACGAACAAATGCGAAGATGAACTGCAGATACTAGTTTGTTTTTCACACGAACAAATGCGAAGATGAACTGCAGATACTAGTTTGTTTTTCACACGAACAAATGCGAAGATGAACTGCAGATACTAGTTTGTTTTTCACACGAACAAATGCGAAGATGAACTGCAGATACAAGTTTGCTTTTTTAACCATTTGTTCTTTTCCTGACATCAACTGGTCAGTGAAGTGGTCAAAGGGTTTATCAAAAGTGTAAGAAGTCTATGGATGGTAGTAGTTAAGTTTATAAAGGAAAGGTCTAAAAAAAGGGGAAACATTTGAAAAGAAAGAAGTTTTAAAGGGGAAAAAATTAGAGAAAGGAAAAAAAAGTTCTAAAGCTAGAATTACTTTAACATTTCTCTGTTCTGTAACTTTTTCCTTTCTTATTTTTTAGATTTATTTTATTTCTTTATTTTCTTTTTATGTGTTTCAACATTCAGGGTAGTTTCTCTTACTTTCTTGAAGATCATGTCTCAGAAAATGACTCATATTTTGACCCATTTTTATCTCTGCTTTATTCAAACAGTGGTCTGTTTTGCCCCTTTCTTATTCAAACAGCACTGTCATTGTTTCTGTCTCGTGTAGAATGTCAATGTTTCAAGGTGTAACCTGTTGGTGTATCAGTGTGTTGATGTATGAGTTTGTTGTGTCACTTATCTCTCATTTCATGTTTGTGAAAAGTGCCTTCAATTTCAGATTTAAAAAAACTTCCCTTGAATGGTGTTATAATTTTGTGTTGATGAGAGTGTAAAAACAACTAAATTTTTTTAATCGAAAGAAGTATGAAATGTTTTTGCTTTAGTCTTAATTTCGTACTTGAAGTGATTGTACAGTGGGTGGTTGGAGGGTACTTTAAATAGTTGCTACCTCTTTTCTTTTCCTCTTTTGTTCATGTCTGTCCATCTTGTTATTTCCCAACAGAAAGTGCTTGTCATTGTGTCAATGTGTTTCTCTTTACCTGAACAAAAACAATGGAAAAAAGACTGCCTTGTTAATGACCAAATCAATTGGAACATAAAATGATAATTGGTTGGTTTGATGGTTTGTTGTTGTTGTTTGTTTTTTTTTGGGGGGGGGGTGGGTGGGTGTTATTATAAAAATTGTCAGTTTTTATTTTGTTTTGATTATCACATGCGACAATGACATGATGTGAGTGGTTTGCAGGTACTCTGGTTTGATTTGCTCCTTCTTTTCTATAAAAAATCCATCCTCCTTATCGTTCCTCCATCTTTTCTTTGCGTTTTTGTCTCTAGTAACAATTTTTTATCTTTTGGCACTTCAATGACCTGATTAGGCTGCAAGTGCCGTAAAACTTTTATTATATAATTTTTTTTTAATGAATGACATTTGACACTCACAACAACTCTCGTGTCTCTTTGTCTTCAGATTCATCACCAGAAAGATCCAGACAGAGTTTGAAGAAGTTCTCAAATCTCGGGGAGGCGTGTTGATGGACGAATTGTTTGTAAGCCAATGTGTTTGTTGTTACGTCTCTTGCGTGGAGTGGGTGGTTGGCGGGTGCTCTGATGTGGTTTGCCTCTTCTTTCCTATCAAACATCTATCGTCCTTATTCCCCCGCCTTCTTTTTTATGTTTTGTTACTCTCTTGTAACACCTCTAATCTTCTGGCGCTTATATGACCTTATGCAGTTGCGAGCGCCGTAAAACCTCTACTAATACAAAATCTTTCATGGAATTTATCACTCTCAATGGGTGTGTGGAGGGTGCCTCTGTTAGATTTTTCTTCTTTACAGTCGCAATGTTATTTTTGTCTGCTTTCCTTGCTTTTCTCCTGTACCATGTGACCATTACTGTTTAAGTTTGCTTCTCCTTGCTCAAAGAAATAAACGCTTAGATGTGCTGTCACTCATTTGTTACTTATGAGCTACTTTTACTTCGCAGCCTCATGGGTTAATTTCAAGTTACCGAAGCCACTTATTTTTGTGTGCTGTCTCTGATGTGCTATTTATGAGTTACTTTTTACCTTTCAGTCTGATGTGTTACTTTTACCTCTCAGTCTCATGTGTTACTTTTATCTCTCAGTCTGATGTGTTACTTTTACCAGTCAGTCTGATGTATTACTTAATAGTCAATCTGATGTGTTATTTATAAATTACTTTTGCCTTTCAGCCTGATACGATACTTATAACTTACTTTTACCTCTCAGTCTGATACGTTACTTACCTCTCAGTCTGATACGTTACTTACCTCTCAGCTTGATACGTTACTTATAACTTACTTTTACCTGTCAGTCTAATGTTCAGTTTTCTGATGTATAATTCAACAATTGACCCTGACCGTTTTGCTTCCTCAGCTTCGAGACTTTGCCTTAGGAAATAAGTTCCCGGTTGTGATGGGCCTGTCGGTGGAGAGTTCTGAGGTCAAGGACGATGTGGTACAGGTGGGACAAAGTTCACTTTTTTTTTCTCTCCATATTTCCCATACCCACGCACCCCCCCCCCCCTTTCGCACTGACCATTGGTTAAAGTTCTCTTGTTCAGCTTACAGATGTTGATTTACAAGAAAGAAAAACAAAATATAAGTTGTACCAAAATTTTTTCCTTTTTTGGGGGAGGGATTATTTGGTTCACTTGTTCGTTAGCGACCAATCACAGTTTCAATTACCAAATTCCAGTCTGATGCTTGAAAGATGTGCCTGGTAGATCCTTCCTCTTATCTTTCCCTGTGTTTTTTCTGTCTGCCTGTCTTGCTCTTTCCAAGCACTATTTGATGGTTTTCGTGTGCCTCCTTCTACTATAACTTGTAAGTCTCGTTTGTCTTATTTCCTGGTCTTGGCCCTTTGTCTGCAAAATATGCCTGTGTTTGATTTGAGGCCAATACCATCCTCTATATAGAAATAAGAAAGATAGAAATAGAAGTGGATTGGACACACCTTCGGAAAACTAAAAACCAACCTTACACACCAAGCCTTAGGACAAGGAAAGAGAAAGAGAGGAAGACGTAAAAGTTCTTTAAGAGAGGCTTTAATTGAAATGAAAAGGAAATTAGATACAGTGAAACAGAGTTTGAGACTCTCGCTCAGGACAGAAGTAGATGTAGAGCTTTTTTTGGTGGCCATACTCCAGCACAGGGTGAGAAAAGCTGATGATGATAATACTGTCAGTTCTTATGCCTCACAATTTCAACACCTCCGTGACATTTCTCTCCCCCCCCCCCCCCCCCCCTCTTTTACAGACGCTGGACCTCAAGGCCCGTGTGGTGTACGATGGAGGTTTCCAGATCGCCATCGACGCAGCCCTTCCATTTGGCCGCATGGCCTTTGTGTCTGTCAAGGTCATGAAAATCCGCGGCCTGATGCGCTTCCAGTTTACCCTTCTGCCGTTCAGCCACTGGTCCATGTCCTTTTACGAGGTAAGCTGTGCACAGCCGGTTGCCTTGTCAACTTTTTAAAAATCTACATTCACAATTTTTTTGGCTTTTTGTTTGACACAAATATGACATTTTGTAGAATTTGTTAATTTTCTAATGAAAAAATGTTGCCTTTTTTCTGCTTGAAGGGGTATATATAAACCTTATGAAAGAAGTTATCTGCTGCATAAGTATAAGCGCAATGCCTCTGTGTTGTTTGTCCAGTTTATATTAGTGTGTCTGTTGTGTGATTTTATTTGGTCTTTTTACCTCTGAACCAGTGTTTGTCAACTTTTTTTATAGCCAGTGCCCATTTTTGCCACCTTTAAGAGGCTAAAACATTTGTACCACCCACCTACATATTGTATTTCCAAGCCAGCCATTAAATAACACCTGTTACTGCTCCGGTGATCTTGATCGCCCACGAAAATCCCGACCTCCCACTACTAGAAGGCCATTCTCTCAAGCAATAGCCTTGTTTTGTTTATTTGGCTTTTTTACCATTCATTGTGGGAATTTATGCAAATGAGTAATAAAGTGAAATAACGAGATATTCTTCTCTCCCCCGCTCCCTGCCTCCACAGGAGCCTGAGGTAGAGCTGGACGTTACAGCACAGCTGGACGGTCACCCTATGCCAAAACTGAAGAACATCATTGCCAATCAGGTGAGGGGGAGGAGTGTGGGAAGGTAATAGCTGTAGTAGGCTCTTATCTCCTCTAAAGAATTGTAATTGTAGGTGATTTACGCCTCCATTGACACAAATTAGATCATTCAGGAGGCAGACTGCTTTGACTTTGCCTGCAGGACCAACCCGGGTTAAGAGGGATACAATGTCCCTGGAGACAGAGAGACAGAGATGCTCCGTTAAAAAAACATCTGCCCTTGGGAATTGAACTCAGGCCTTCTGTGTGGGATGGTTAAGTGCTTTAGTGCTACACTACAGATGCCAGTACTGTTTCCTTAGTGGACATTATTTTGCACTAACATTTATGTCTGTGATGATGGCGCATATAAAATGCCAGTGCAGTGTTGGTTGTAAAGAAGAGAATAGAAAGTTGTAGTTGTTGAAAAGTCTTCAAGCCCTTTTCAACACCATAAGGCAAAATTAAGATGGGGGATGTTTGATAGGACTGAGCGAAGTGGATGGGGAGCCTTTAAAACACCTCTAACAATTAATGTTTAAGAACTTCCCATTGGGAATTTGAATCAGGGCCCATCCACACCACTGTTCGTTTTGGTAAGTGTTTTACAGCGCTTGCAAGGTGGAGGTGAAAGCAGATGACAGAATATAGTTAGAGAGCAGGAAAGGAAGTGAAAGAAGAAAATTTTAGAGCAGACAGTTTTCCGTCACTGTCAGGTTTCGAACCCTTTACCCATTGAATGAGAGGCAAACACTGTACCTCCAGACCACGAGAGCTCCCTCACCACAGTTCAGCAGGATATCAACGGAACTAATGGCTCGAGAAAGGAAAGGATTAGCTCTTTGTTCTTGTTTTGTGTATTTTCACTCTCTGTAAGTCTTCAACACCACCATGGTATGTTCCTCCTTTGGCTAATGATTTTTTTCCTATGTGGGCAACCACAGGTCACTACTGAACGGTCCTATTTCGTTTCTTTCCCCTCTGTTATTTCTGTCTGTCTTACCCTTGCTCCAAGTAGTAATTTTCTTTTGTGGCTGTTAACAATGTGTTGATATGATTCTCTTCATTCAAACTACAATACGTGTGTGCTATGTTATTAGGTTGTATACTGTCTCCATCTGTAACACATACAACATTTTGGTTGGAAAATGCCACTGGTTTGTCTTACTTCTTTTCCTACCCGCTATTGATTCTTTCTCTCTGTCTTTGCTTTGCCCTGCACTAAGCAATAAGTGACCATTGTTGTGTCAATGTGCTTCTCAAACTACAAAACTGTACTGCTGTATTCTAAATTTGTGTATCTTTTACTGGGGGGGGGGGGGGGGGGTTTCAGCTACTATAGATTAGTGCTTGTTAATGGTTGCTTGTTAATGTTTCACACCCCTTATGACATAATTTGCATTTTTTTAGAAGCTTGTCCTCTCAGAACTGGAACCTGTATCTTCTGCGTGAAAAAGAGAAGAGCCTAACCATTACACCAGGGATGTTGTTACATCTAAGTACTGTGTTTTTATTTTAGCTTGTAATTAACTTTCCCTACAGATCAAGAGAATCATCCGTAAGAAACACACACTGCCCATGTACAAGATGCGGTTCAAGCCGTTCTTCCTGCCGAGGCCGGAGGGGGGCAGGCCAGGCCGCTGCAAAGTCCAGGTGGACGGGACGGAGGTTGGTCGTGGGGTGTTGGAGGTCACCGTTGTCTCAGCCTCGCGCCTGCCTATTGTCATGAAGGGGGCTCAGATGTACTGTACACTGTCTGTGGGTGAGTAACGTTGGGACAAGGAGGGGAACTAAGTGATCACTTTCTTTAGTAGATAAGTTAGTTGTTGCTTTTTTATTGTAAATCATCAGCAAGCTGTTTAAAAGTGTTAAGCCTTGTAAACCAAACTGTGCAGGAGAAAGAAAGAAACTCATTCTTTCAACAATTGTACCGGCATTGTGTGTCTTTTCCTGCTTTTTTCAACATTTAGAATGTGGGTTTCAACAAAATATTTCTCAAGCACATGCAACCGATACCACAAATCAAGAAACTACGTTGAAAAAGAAATGTAAAAAATTTGGCTTAGTACACCTGAACAGCTGGCTGATAAAATGCTTTACCCCCCCCCATAGATGCAACTTAGGTCATTTAGGAGGTGGGCTTCTTTGAGCCTGCTTGTCAGAGCCAACCTGGGGTGAGGTGGGTACAAAATACCAGCAAGCCGGTGGAGATACGCTTTGTTAATTTTACAGCTCAAGTATCAACCTCACGTTTTCAGTGTGAGTTAGATTACCAAGGTGGCCTTGACATGCAGGGTCAAAGCAGCTTGCCTTTTGAATGATCTTATTGGTGTTCATCTGGGCATTATTCTACTTATATGCAATGTCAAACTTAAGACAATGTTATTGGAACCTTACCAATCCTATTCTAATTTATTTCCTCACTAGATGCATTGCCATGGCGACAGATGGTGGCAGAGCAGAGGAAGCAGAAGACAGTTCTAGTCCTGGAGATGGTGAAAAAGCCGTCAGACCTCAGTCTGGGACTCACTGTGAAAGATGTGAGTTCAAATACCAGAAGAGATGTACTCTTGTAATGCTGTGCACCGGTAGTCAACTAGACTATCATCCTCATTATGTGAACCGTGTTCAAAAGAAGTAAAAGTGGACTCTTGAATACTAATCTGACTTTAGTGCCATTACCATTGTTTTGAGAAAATTGCGATTGGATGTTGTGGCTTTTTGTAATGTGCATTGTAATCACTCTTTTGAATTTTTCTCCTTAGATTTTATGCTAAAAATATCGTTAAAATCAGTGTAATATGTGATTTAATCATATTGCTGTTTTACTGCCTAAATATTTGCATTTCAAGGGTCCAATTGAAACTGTATTTTCCAAAGTTTTACCACTTTTAATCCATTCCTGAACAGTTTGGTATTTTTGTGTAACTAGGAGAACAGCTCCAACGCTCACATATCAGTGCCAGACATGGTTTCTAACAAAAGCCCTAGAGAGGAAACTGGTCACATGCAAGATGAAATGCTTAAGAAGAGCGGTCAACAAAACAAGAGAGAGAAAATAAAAAATGAAGTCATAAGGGACACCTTGGGAGCAACACCAGTCCTACCACACATTGAAAAACAAAAGGTCAAGTGGTTCGGACACCTCACGCGGATGCCCTCAAACCATCCAGCTCTGAGAGCATACAACACTAAATATTCTGGATGGAGAGTCAGAGGAAGACCAAGGCGACGATGGAGTGAATCTGTGGCAGACATCCTTAGAGATCATGGGATGTCCCTCCTACAGGCCACACAACTTGCTGCCGACAGACGCCTGTGTCTCCCCGCGACACCCCAGGGTACAAGCGGAAGAAAAAAGTAAAAGTAAAGTAAGGAGAACAGCAGTGTAGCCTACTGTTGTCGTCCAGCCTCTCTGCTGTGTTTCATGTCTCTGTTTTTCTGCTTCAGGAATTTCTGGGTGACCGTTTGAATCCTGCAGTTGTGGTGGAACAGGTCTTGGTGGGGTCACCCGGTCATATGGCTGGCATACGGGAGGTCAGTGTGTTTGTGTGTGTGTGTATGTGTGTGTGTGTGTGGGTTTGTGTGTGTGTGATGATGGAGTCATTTTGTTCATTGGCATATAGGAGGTCAGTGTGTGTTTTTGTGTGTGTGTGAATATTGAAGTGCATGTGTAAGTGTGTGTTGGTGTGTGTGTATGTTGGTGGGGGTCACCTAGACATTTGCCAGGAATTCAAAAGGTCAGTGTGTACATGTGTGTTGGTTTGTGTGTGTGTGTGTGTCTGTGTATGTGTGTGTGTGTGTGCATCTGTGTGTGGATTGTATGTGCTTGAGAAATAGTGTGTCAAAATTTAAATTCTAACTGTCAAAAAAAAAAGCAACCCGAACAAATCTAGAAAATGTAATATTCAATTTTTAAAAAAACCCAGTTTATTATCTCTCTTAAAGATTTGCTTTCTATGCTTAAAACATTTGAATATCTTTCGGCAATATAATTATCTTACCACAAGCAGGCACTATACGTGATACTGTGGACCCCCTTCTGTCTTTGGAGATGAGAGTTTGTCTATGACAATGATGAATTCTTGTTTAAACATGATCTGATTCACATGCAGTGTACAGGTGGATAGAGTGCACACTTCTGGTAGATCCTACTTCTTTATTATCCCTCTGTTGTTTAAGTCAGTCTGTCTAGCTCTTTCTTTGCCTGAAATTCTGCTATCTGTTTTGCGCAAATCAAATTCAAACCATTTTGTACATTGTACATATTGTGACCTTGGCATTGAGTGGATATAATGGTAACTGTTGTTCCACAGGGAGACATTCTTTTAGCTGTGGCAGAGACAAAAGTGAGCTGTGCAAAGCAGGCCACAAAAACCTTAAAGGCAGCCAAGGACAAGTAAGTTATTGATTGATCCACTTTAAAGACTCATGATATCTTATTTGAAATTGAAAACTCTTTGAAAACTTTACTTACAGTAGTTTTAGAAAGTGCTCCTCTTATATATCCGTAGCTTGGACAAAGGCCTATTTCCATGTTTAAGTTGTTACTTCGTTGAATTGGGGAGAACCTACTAAAGTACAAATTTGACTTGGTGTTTGATCCCACTAGGCCACAGTTAGTCCTGAAGAGACTGGGTCAAGCATGTCTCCTTAAAATTGATTTAGATTCTATTGATTAGGGCATTTTATATTTACTGTGAAAAAGAAAAATACGGTTGGCCTAGAATTTGTATTATGTTGTCTTCAATCTCCTCAAAAGTATTATATAGCAGAATTGTAAGAAAACACTGTTAATAAGTTCTTGTGCATGGTTTTTAGCATCTTTTCTGTTCATGCCTAGTACTGGTTCCTTTTATCTCATCTGTTTTTTAGGATCCAAGTCCAGATTGAACGTGAAAGTAATGGTGAAAAAACTCCATCTGTGAACGAAGAGGATATTATGTCAACGGTGAGTTACAGTTAAGGCTAAGGATGTTTTTAGATAAAACTATGGTTGTTTGGAGAGTGCCACTGGTACGTCCTATTTCTTACTTCCCACGCTGCTATTCTTGTCTGCATTTCTTGTGTGTTTCCAGTATTAAATAGTGGCTATTATGCCAATGGGCCTCTTATTTCGAAGAAAGCAAACAAAAACTGTAGGTTGTTGTAGTGTCAGCTCAGTTCTTTTTACTCTGCTCAAAGCCTATGTCTGAGTGAAGTGTTTCGGATTCTGTTGTCTATACATTTTGTCTCAGTCTAAGTCTGAAAGAAGTGGCTATTTCTGCATGTCCAGTCTAGTGGCAGTCTGTCTGAACTGATGAACCAGCAGTCACAGAGTTCCGAGTCAGAGGTCACGACGACCTCTGGAGGGGTCACCACCAGTGCATCTGCTGACCTGGATTCTGACCCATCTCTCATTTCTGCGCCAAAGTCGTCAACCTCCAGTGCCAAGGTGAGATGGTCGAAATACACCAATGTAAATTTTTTTGTCTTCTAGCATAAAGCTTTCTGTCTTCCTCACTGATCTAGCTCAAAAGGGGCATACAAATTGCTCATTGGGTTATGGTGAGGACAACTCTGGTTCAAATCGCCAATGGAGACTCATAAACTTGGGTTTTTGAAAAGTTTCAAAGCTCCCCACCCACTTGGCACAGTCTATCAGAGATCAGGAGTTAATTTTGGACGTACAGCATTTTTAATCACCTTTCAATTTTGGTAGGGGCTGTTAACCCATACGATGACTACTGTTCTCATTCTTTGGTTTTGTGATTGTTTTTTATTTCTTATTCTTTGGCCATTCTATTTGAATTATTTATTTATGGGAAGGTGTTTGAATGGAAGACAAACTGACGCATGAATGGTATACTCTGTAGGGAAAATGAGATCAATAAGGTTTTTGCACAAGGAACTGGATACCATATGATTTAAGTCAGTTCATGTGAACTACTTTGATTATTTCATTTCAGGGTACCAATGTGAGGAAGACCAGGATGAGGGAGGCATCTGAAGTAAGTGCAAGAATTTGTGTCAGACTAATAATGATTATCAACTCACTACTTACCTATGCAGCATTTGCTGCAGTCAAATTTCTGTTTCAACTGCCTACGTTCACCATAGCCCCTGGGGTTTCAGACTTCAGAATTATTTTTTAAAATCACTATATTACTGCAGTTATATTGATAATTTTATGTCAGTTTCAGTTAGTAAAAGTTTTTCGGCGCTCACAACTGCATAGGTCATATAAACGTGCCATATGTCTGTTAATTGCGCAGCAGTGATATTATTTTTTAAGAAGTCTTGGAATGACAAAAATTTGAGGGATATGAATGAGAAATATGGCAGGTAGTCAATAGGAGCAAGTTGTCTCTAACTTTCGCATCCATCAGGTTTTTATTTATTATCTAGTACTTTTGAGATCTATTGCTGTCTGTCATTTTTTGCCACCCACACATACAGCGTGAGTCTATTGATTAATGCAACGGGAACGACTTGTAAACATGTACTGAATTCCTAAAATGCAAAAAAGTATGGAAATTCTTTGGAGCATTATCGATCCGAAAAAGATCTTTTGTTTCACTTAAAAACAACATTGTCAACAAAAAAATCTCTGTATATTGTATCAATACTGACGTTTTGTAACAAATTTGAAGGTCTAGAGGTACGGTGTTTGCCTCTCATTCCATAGGTCTCAGGTTTGAAACCTGACAGTGACGGAAAGTTTTTTTCTCCAAAAAAAAATATATTTTCTCCTTTCACCTCTCTTCCTGTTCGCTAGTCACGTCTGCTTTCATCTCTACTTTCAATTATTGTTTACTGATTATTTGCACAAATAGATGTGTTTTGGAAACACTGTTTGCATAAAGCTTACCAATATCTCCTTTTTCTGAAAATGCTTCTCATTACTGAAAAACAAATACAGATGAACCTGCTCTAACAACCACATGTTCAAGACAGCCTCAATTGACAAACAACCCATTCCCTTCCTCCTACACTCCTCTCACCCCCCCCCCCCCCCCCCTTGCAGGACCACCTGTCTAGGATGACCCTCTTTTCCCCTCGACAATTTGTAGCCATTTTGGACTGGGTTTGATTGCGAATAATAAATACTCTATTTCTCTCTGCGATATTTCAGAGCCCTCACTGGGGCCAGAAGTTTGTGTTCTCAGTGGTTCCAAGCACGCGCTACCTCAACGTGTGTGTGTGGAGCTGTGGGGGTGACCGTGCGGGCAAGACTCAAGTGATGGGGGCCTCAAAGAGGGACGTGCTGGTCGGATATGTAAGTTGTTCATGAACGTCCACATGTTTAGGATTTGGGTTTTTTTTCAAGATTTTTATCCCATTTTACACATATCTTTTCTTGTTTTCTTGTCAATAGAGATATAACATTTTAGTCATTTAATAGGTCCTTGATATAATATGTTATATCATATAGTGAAGATTTGATCTTTATTAAGGTTGATAATGAATGCAGGGCAAAAGTTAATAATGAATACAGGAGAAAAGCTCACATGTTGACAATAAAATCATGTAATTAAGCTGATAGTGAAGGCGGTGTAAACATCAACAGGTGATGACTACATTGATAATGAATGTGTTGAAAGAAATTGATAATGAATGCAGTGAAAAGGCTAATAATGATTGTGATGAAGGCCAATAACTGTCCGTTTGCACACAGTTATTAGTTATCTTCCTGTCCTCAGGCGAGCCTTGACCTTGACGACATCTACTTACATTGCCTGGTGACCTTGAATGGTTCAGTGCGAGACAAGGTCAAGCTCAAGCACGGCCATTACAAGACGGAGGCAGAGTAAGAGCTGAATGATGATAATGATAATAATAAAGTTTCGAGATCTGTCACCACTTCTTCTAATCAGTGTTAGTGTTGTTGTTCTTGCAGCTTTTAAAAGGACACCAATAATTGTAGGTTCTACTTCTTTTTCTTCCCTCTGTTGTTCTGTCTGCCTGCCTAGCTTACATTTTCCCAACTCTAAACAGTGTTTACAGCGTCAGTGTGCTTCTCTTTGCACATGCCTAAACAAAGGATTTTTCAGCTCTACATTAATGTTACTATTTATGTATTGCTTAACCGATACTAACTTTGCTATGACAGCAATAATATTCTTTTCTTATGTACACTCTGACAGATAGGGTCGAAGCAGACCTCCTCTTAGATTATCTATGTCAATGAGGACATGATACATGGTATTTACATAACAAAATACTCTAGTGTTCCTGCATTGTTGTTTAGGCTCCAGGCAAATACAGCAAACATTATTTAACCTACACCCCCACCCCCCTTCCATCTCCGCCTCCACCCCCCCCCCCCAGGCTGGTCAAGCTGTGGTCAGTCCACAAAGGCTGGGATCCGAACTTGATGTATGGCGACGTGCTACTGTCCTTCCACTTCCTCCCCTCCCACCTGAGCGTCCAGCAGCGACAGGCTATGGCCAGCTGTAAGACCGGGCTGGTCTCTCTGGGTCATCACCAGGAGGAGGAGGAGGTGGTCAATGGACGGACAGATCTGGACCTGGAGAAATTGGCTGGTCAAGGGGCCCAAGTCCCAACAGAGCTCAGAAAGTGAGTTGTTTCTATTCGTATATGGTGTGGTTTTTGTTTTTTTGGCTTGGTGAAGACACCTGTAGACACAATTTTGATCATATAGGAGACCGGCTACTTCGACCCAGTCTGTCACGGCCTACTCGGGTGAGTCCAAGCAAACAGATAAATATATTTCATTCAAAACTTTGGAAATCGAGTTCATGTATTTTGTCTTCAAAAGCCCTGTTTTGTTCCTTAATACGCATACATCATCAAGTTAAACGTTTCAAATATCTTAGGACAACTTGTGTCTGTGGTGTAATTGTTGGGCTGTTTCACTGCACATTGAAGATTTGAATGTAAATCCCGTGTAGGGAAGTTTAATGATCGAGTATCTACGTCTTTCTGCCAGGATGTTGTATCCCATTCAGCCCAGGCAGGCCCTGACAGGCAGGATTGAAGCAGCCCAGCTCGTAGAAGATGTACTTTGTGTGAACGATGTCATAATGACTTTACAATTTTTTAATACAACTTTTTTTGTGATTTTATCAATTGTTCCAGCCTTTAAAAGCTTCAATAGTGAGTGCATTTTTGTTCAAATACTTTCCTCACTTCTAACTGAAGTTGTCTTTAGGCCGTTCCCAAAGGGGGGATATTAACATGTTCTTTTGCACAGTAGAATTTTAAATGGGCTGATTTATCAATGTCATGCTCATACTGTGCCGGAACAACATAGGAGGAACTGCTGCGTTTTCTTTCCCCATCCTTACTATCGTCATTTTTCTGCTACTTCTTTTCACTCTCTTGTGAACTGCTATTTCCGGGGTGCCTTGATAGTCAAAGCCGACTTTGTACTGTTGAGGATAGAGAGGTGAGCAGAGTAATCCTGATTCCCCATTTAGACTTCTCTGTTGACATCCACCCCTTGGTGCTCATACGACCTAATGTAGATGCGAGCGCAGTAAAACCTTTCTTAAACAAACATTTCCTCACTTCTCCCTTATATGGTCATGTGACTGTTTTCCCCCTTGTCTCAGAAAATGTTAATGTTGTGTCCTTGAACTTGTTTAGACATAATGGAGATGTGAATGATCTCAAAAACATGAGTGCGCAAATAAAGTAAATATTTCATTTTGAAGGGGATTGCATGCCAAATGACAGAAACGTCTCTGACAATTGGCTGCATTCAGTTTTAAGAAGGTATGTGTCACAAAAGGGTGAAGACGATTTATTTTTTTTCCCTTTCACAGAGATCTGAATGAGGGTCATCATCAGTTTGATAGCACGACTTTTGTCACAGCAACGTTTTGTGACTATTGTGGGAAAAAGGTATGTTTGTGTGTGTTTGTGTCTGTACGTGAATGTTAATGTGTACGTGTGTATTAGTGTCTGTGTGTACCAGTGTATTAGTGTCTGTGTGTGTGTGTGTGTGTGTATGTGTGTGAAAGTAGCTTAATAGATTATAGGAATGCTTTTGCTTTGGTTGTATTTTCTCAAATCAAGCTAGTTAAATTGATTTTTCATTCTTGTAAAACAGCTTCTTAAAGCGAGTGACTCTTTCATTTTCCCGCAAACCAATTAGCAGAAGGGACTGGATCGAGAAAACAGTCCATTTTGTTTTTTATTTAATTTTGTCTGCTTTCTGAACTATAACACTTTAGTTGGAAATTAAGGGAATGCAGCATGTGGAAAACGTGTTTGAGATAGACGAAACCATGGCAAACAGTTTTCCAAAGGATGCAACGTGTTGTTACCACTTTACTCCATGACGTCATACAACATGCCTGAAACCAGAAGTCAAGTAAATGAATTCAACAAAATACGCTAGGGCCCTTCAATGTCAAACACTTGTCTTTCAATGTTGCAAGTCAAGTCAGTTACTTTGTGCCTGAACGGTACTTTTTGGTCCCCCTTCCCCCACCCCCACCCCCACGGAGTAAAATCTGGCTAGAACCAAATTCAATTTAATTGTATTAGACATGTGCATTGGGTATAAGGGTGTAATTTTACTGAATTGAGAAAGTATTTCTGTCTTTAGGAAAAAAATTATTTGCTTGATTTTTTTTTTTCCAGATTTGGATGAAAGAGGCATTCAAGTGTCGCTCCTGTCACATGGTGTGCCACAAAAAGTGTTTAGTCAAGTGTTTGGTCAACACTTTCTGTACAGAGTGAGTTGCTATATGTGTGTCTGTGTATGTGGTGTCTGTGTGTGTGCGTGTGTGTGTGTGTGTCTATGTGTGTGTGCATATGTGTGTGTGTAACTAAAAGTGTCTAGTCAAGTGTTTGGTCAACACTTTCTGTACAGAGTGAGTAGCTGTGTGTATGTGTGTGCGAGCGTGCTTGTGTGTGCGTCACAAAGAGTGTCTAGTCAACACTTTCTGTACAGAGTGTGTGTGTGTGTGCGTGTGTGTACATGCATGTGTGCTCGTGTGCGCATTTATGTGTGTGTGTGTGTGCATGCATGTGTATGTGTGTGTATGTCTAAAAAAAGTGTCTGGTCAAGTGATTGGTCAATATTTTTTATTCAGAATTTGTAACTGTCTTCAAGTGCTTGAAGATATAAATGAGAGTCTGCTTATACCGAGCATTGTTAATCCGAAAACAACAGTAAATCGTAAGAAAATAGGTCCACAATTTATGTTCTTCTGTTCGAAAAAACCTCTCAAAAGAAGAAAACCCAGCTTAGCAAAAGAAAATCAGGTGGTCTCACAGACTTGGAATCCGCCATATATGAGAGTCTCTTTGTTTGTGGACATTTATGTGTATATTATGTGTGTGAGAGTGTGTGTCATGATCTTGTTGTTTTTTTCAAAGTCAAGCTATACTTCCCAGCAAAGTTTTCTTCCTCATGTTTGAATGCTGGTTTTCTTTCTTGTAGTGTTAAGTTGTTTTTTTTCACAAGCATTTATTCACGGGCAGTATTGAGATACGTCTGTATGCAATGCTGCCCGCGTATTGCAGGTGGTTGGAAGGCACCACCGGTACATCCTACTTCTTTATGTTCTCTCTGTTGTATTTGTCTGTCTGTCTTACTTTTTCCCAGCATTAAATCATGACCATTATTGTGTTGATGTATGTCTCTATACTCAAACAAACAAACACTAATTTAGTCTTTCCCGGATCTGCTGGTCGTGCCTGCAGGGATGGAGTGAGGAAAAGAGGAGCGAGAGATGAACCTTGGCAGCCGCTTACTGCCCCAGGCAGAACAAAAACTTCAGCCGTGGAGGAGACAGGGAAGAGAGGTAATGTCCAGCCTGGTGTTTTTGTTGTTTTGGAAAGTGTTTTACAGCGCTTGCAACTGCATAAGGTCATATGAGCGCACGGGACACATTAAACATTCTCTGTTTTGGTAGGAATTAATTTTGAATAATTTTGCTCGGATGGCAGCCGAAGCTACTCATCGATTTTGGACCTTCAAGGGATCTTTGTGCACAACTTGCACACAGGACCTCTGAGATTTTTTGCTCTATCCAAGAAGGTTTGGTGTTAGTTCTTACATACTGTAAGATCATGGTTGCTGAAAGACAGCAGTAAGAAGGAGCCAATGAGTAGCAGTAGAAAGGCTGTAGAAAGTAAGGAGCCCTGAGGAGGGGGTAAAGGGTGGGGAGGGTGGGTTTGGAGGCAGAAAGTGGGGATGAAAGCAGACGACAACATTGTTAAAGAGCATGAGACAGTGCTTCCACTCTTCCGTATTTTTACGGAAATCTGTATTTTCTGCCAGTTCCGTACTTGTCCCTCCATCATTATCAACTCCCTCCTTAAAAAAACTGCGACAGCGCAGGACTGCCGAAATTCCGTACATGTATTCGCCTTCGTTTCGTCTTGTATAAGTTACGGATATTTACGGTAGTTCTCTCGGCAACAAGTTAAAGTTATAGAAACCTGCCAGATTGCGCATTTCCTGCAATCGGCCATTATTCCGCTGTGTCCTACGCATTCATTGCGGGTTGGTCGGCAGTGCATTTTTTACCTGCAGATGGATCAAAATCTGGTGAACCTTTTGTGCCTATTTCCTCCTTTCTATCATTCACTCATTCCTTCTGTCTATCTTCGAATTGTTGCCGCGGCTGGGAAATCTGCGCGTTGATCAAGTAAATTGACTTGTGATCTTATTTTTTTGCAAATTTGTCTAGATCTAGAGTCGATGCGAAGATTCTACGGCATGTGAACGCAATAAGGGCCGCGATGAAAGAAATATGCTGATACGAGGGTACCCACTACGGATGGGATCAGCCGATCGCGCTATTCGCCCGACTCGGTCGCCTCAAAAACAAACGTGTTTGTTTTAGTTTCAGGCGATCGGCCCGATCCAGCCGTAGGTAAAATAAAGAATAATTCGAAGTGGTGTTCCAAGGTTGTGACAGGCGACATTCAGACGTGAAAATTGAGAAAAAATTTGGGTATACGCTGTGCAACTGTATTTTGAAGGTACATCTATTCATTATTCCCAGGTTTGCCTGCTATCAATGGTGCGACCACAAATTAATTGAATTATAGTAGCAATAAAAGGGGAACCTGCTTTTAAACATTGCCTGCAATGGACAGATATGTTGGTGAAGAAATCAAACAAGACAAAATGTTGGTGAAAGAATAAATGTTATGGGCTGTAGGCAATCTCTTCAAACAGGCTCCCAAATGACATTTTCAACCCTCTGAAAGCACTAAATTTCAATTTCTTCGGGGGCTTCGCCCCCTGAACCCCCACCAGGACGCGGCCCCCAGACCCCCTGCTGAATTTTCCTTACTTTTTAGCTTCAGCTAGTGGAAGAACTAATGAGAGAAGGTGAGAGGAGAACATTTTAGAGATGAAAATTTTCCGTTGCTGTCAGGTGTCGGACTCTGGATCTATTGAATGAGTGGCGAACACCATAACCTCTAGACCACGAGAGCCTACATCTGGTGTGCGCTTCTTGAGGTTCGGCTAATTGTTCAGTCAAACCAGCTGTAACAGCCACCTATCCAAGATAATCACTAAGGGTGGTTGGCGATTGCTGTGGTGTGGTTTGCTATTTCTTTTCTATCAAACAGCTATCATCCTTTTCTGCCTTCTTTTTTGTTTGTTACTTTCTTGTAACACCTTTAATCTTCCGCATTTATATGTGAGGCAGGGTGGTGAAATCAGGCGCTTGTTAGAATAATGAAAGTCAAGAAATTGGCATTTTCCCACAGGTTTGGGTATTTCTATTGATTTTTTTTTTTTGGTTCAACACCTTTCATGCCCATTAAAAAGCACCTTTCTGTGTGGATTTTATTGAAAAACGTTGATTAAAGGTAGAAGAAATGTAAAATATTCAGTTGCCACGGAGTCTCAAGCTAAAGAAATAACTCAACTTTTGCAGCCATTTTCTTGCTAATTTTACCTCTCAAACCAGATGACCTTCACCTCCTTCAATCGCACATCTTGACTTCTATTCAACATAGATGAATATTATTTTCACCCAAAACAAGGAAAATGGGCAGGCCTTAAGATGATACCATTAACTCCGTATCCCCAAAAATTGACGAGAGCCTGATTCCACCGCATTGTACCACATATGACCTAATTAAGTTGCAAGTGCTGTAAAATTCTTACCAAATAAAGACAATCACCTGTGCAAATAACCATTCCCCTCCATGTCCAAGACATCCCTTTGTCTAAGATCACCAATTTTTTCCACAACAATGGGTGGCCGTCTTGGATAATTTCAACTGAAATTATAATTTTCAGTGTTTTACACCCCTATTGACATGATTGAGATCATTTGAAATAATCCCGTGCGGACAGCTTCACATGGTTTTGTTTTCATTGTTATTTTCTTTTTCACAATCATTGTTAGTGTGTGGTATATTTGTCAGTTATGCACATGCCTACCTATCTGCACCACAGTTACGATTTTCTTTTTCACAAGTTTTGTTGGGCATTTTGTCAATTGATTGGAGAATGCTGTTGGTAGGTACTACATTTTTCTTATCCCTTACCTGTTTCTATTAGTGTGCAGTTAGGTGGTTGAGGGCACTGTGCTGGTAGGTTCTACTTCTTTACTATCACTCTGTTGTTTCTGTCTGTTTTTCTTAGTTTTTCCAAGCACTACTACTTAAAATAGATTTATTTGCTCATTTCTCTCTTTTCCCCAGGTTCTTCAACGTCGCAAGCACCGTCTGAAGAATATGTGAACATAGAGGATGAGGTAAGCTTGTCTGTGTGTGAGAGAGAGGGAGAGAGAGTGGGGGG